GTAATACATTGAAAAATGTGGGTACCCCGGTACCCCGGGTATTGAACAAGCGTATATTCAACTTTATTTATTGACATTTCTGACTTTTTTCTTTTTTTTTCAAAACTAAATACATAAATCGATGTGAAATTGACGAAATAACGAGGATGTGAAAGGAATTGTGGATATTTTGTCAGAAAGATAAAAAATTATAAGTTGGAAAACGGAAAAGGGTACCGGGGTATTGACATAAGGGTAATTAGAAATTTCCATCCTTTCAAAGCGTGTTTTTCACTCTGGCTGTAATCAATTTTCTTGCATCTTTCAGGAAACATTCCAAGTCCTTATGAGAGTACGAGATAACGTTCAAGGTCAAAACCGTGAGGGCTGCCGTCTGAAATCTGCATGGATTCTAACGTTCGAGGTCAAATGGGTTACCGGCTGAAGGCTGTCGTCCGAAATCTGCACGGGTTCGGGGAGGGAAGGGAATCGCCGAAGCTTCTCCGGGGTTGAGGGCTAAAGGGCTGCCTCAAAACGTCATGCGAGAGGGCCGCCGGCTGTGGAGCGATCCTCCGCGATTTATCACGGACACGAACCATCGAATTTTCTGGAGCTTCTCGATGTTGCTCAGTTCCTGAAATCAAGGGTAAAATTCGTAGAATCCACCTAAAATTCCTGAAATCGGAAACCCCCGTGACGTCACTCCTTGAAATCAGGGAGATCCAGGAAGTCGATTTAGCACGAACGCGAACCTTTGAAAGTTCTCGAATGTCGGTGTTCGGCCCTGATGGTGCCTTGGAGGACAGACAGCTTCGGTTTTCATACGTACGTAACCAGCGAGGTACTTCCACAGATATGTCTGGTACATGTCAACCAATTTTATGAGACTTAAAAAAACTGCAAGTCTTCGCTGACTAACCAGCGCCCTTTTTCCGTGCATTGCGTAATCGGGAAACCGAAAGCCTTTGTCCAGGGCAAATTCGAACACAGGGCCCTATTCCAAGAAAGGGTCTAAGGCTTGGCATGCAGAGGACTACCCTCTCCCCTGTTCCTAAACATTTCGTACACGAGGATCTTTTAAAATTTGGTATAGAGTTAGTTATACTTCAGCTTCCACTAAGAACAGATCACTGTACAAACAATAAAAAAGAGATACATCAAAACAATCAAATTATTATTCCAAATTGATTGTCATTATCATTAAATCCAAACCAGTTGGCGCAGTTCACGTTCCTCTTCCTAGTCCAGAACCCACGAACTTATACTACTTTTGACCTATCCGACATTTTGTTCCGGATCGCGCTACCTCCGCGTAGCTGAGTTACTCAAGGGAGATACGTAGGAAAATTGTCTTGGAGTGATACCTGGCTCCCGCTTGAAATTTAGCCCCTAACAGCAATAATGAGTATTTCGTTGTTTTTAGATTCGTTAACTGCTGGGTTTCCTAGGACGCGTAGGAATCGTGTAAGTTGTGCGCCAGTCAGAGTCGTACTTCTCGATGAGGCTAGATCGCGAATAAAACATCGTCACAATATTCAATGTCACGATAGCCCATTCAATCTTCATTATACTCTGATCGTTTGTCCAGATTGACGATCACAATAATTAGTAACAAATATCGTTTTTTTTCAACTTTCTATTTGATAACCTCACACTATACGAAAAAGTTGCAATTAATTCCCACTCATGAGCAATTTAATACTAAATCTACAAATATTTTGATAATATTAAAACAATCTAAATATATAATTTGAATATGTATGAGTTATCGTTACGATTGTGGCCATCACATTAGCCTAGGGACTCATTTTACATGTTACAAATATGCCAAAGGCTGCTCCATGTTGGAAAGTGTATGTAACAGTATATTTACAGAATTTTCTCTAACTTCTTCGCATTCTTAATCTAAGCTCTCTTTCTGAAACTGTTGCACTCTGACACAATTTCTTTGCTATCGTCTGGACGCACGCATCAACCTTCTGTTCGAATCGTTTTAATAGATGTGGATTTAATGTCGGGATATTCACAAAACCCAGAAGTTTGTTGACATGAGAATTACCCACGCCACCATGTCAAGCCACTGAAAAGAAATAGCAACACCTTAGACGCGAAGCGGCCATTTTCTATTTTAAAAGTACTAAGCATTGTGATACATCTCTTGAAATTGGACTCTAGTATTTAGATATACAATGTTTCTAATAATACTCGCCAAGAACAACTTTTAAATAAACATTATAAAGTGTTTGCTTTTGCTTCTTATTGTCATGTAGTTTACTGGTCGGTACAGAATTAAGAAGAAGACAATGTTAATAGCGTACGTAGAACACAGATGCTAATCATCTATCTTCTTTTTCGATATTTCCCAAACACAATGAATGTGCGCAATATGTATGTACATTGCATGCTACCCACGAAAGTATTCATATCGGCAATACATAATTCAACATGCAATGCCTAAAACGACGATTTGTCTATATCTATGCTTCTACTTGAGGCATAAACTGTCTAAACTCTCTGCCTCTTTTTACCACTTTCCACTTGAGCGCATTGTTTCTTATAAATCTTCCGTACACACTTCTTTCCAGCCAAAATATTTTTTAGTAGGACCGATATTTATTTTTGCGAAGATGGCATCACTCTATGGTTCTACGTAACATGACATAACATAATGGCCCTTTGAGAATTTAAGTTATAAACAATTACGTCCTGACGCAATACAGCTGCCAACCTTAACATTACCGTATACCGTTATTTACAACGTTACCAGATCTTCTTGGGTAAGTTTAGTAGATTTAAAGGATAAAAATTAATTACATAAAATCATATAAACACTTCATGCAACCATGGATTATTTATGAAAAAATATTTTTGTAAATATCTATAAAAAGATAGTCAGAAAATATACGTTAAATATTAAGATTATTTTTTCCTAGACGAGCGATAACAGCAAGTCAGCCCAAAGCAAAAACAGAATAGTCCCCCTGTTCTTCACCCCCGAAACCTAAAACCCTTAACAGCCTTAATGAATATCAGTCAGATCTAATTGCAGAACTTAGGAAGCTACTAGTCGTTGCCTTAGTCTTTTCACTAATCAGCTATTCTAGTATTGCTTATTAAATTCTTTAAATTCATGTGTTAAGTTTATCCCTACCCTTAACCGGGATAAGCGTATATCCCTTCGTTTTGCTCAATTAGATTTCTTGGCCTCTAGACAGCGTTGGTCTTACTCGTTGGGTATATTCACATACAAGTTATTAAAAACAGGCAAGCCCTCCTACCTAGTTAGCACTGTGGTGCTTGCTTCCTCCATGAATCACTGCATGTTTTGTAGAGGGAATAACCTGATTGTCCTTGTGTACCACACTCAATTTTATAGGCAGTCTTTTAGCGTTTCCACGGCCTTTTTCTGAACTACCTGACTCTAGATATTAAAAACTCTCCTTCTCTATATTCCTTCAAAGAGCGCTTGCGATGTCACCTATGCTCAAGAACAGTGGCGGCTCGCAACTAAAATTAGTGGGGGTGCTGCTCCGAAAAATTGTTAGCCTTTGTTTTAAAATTGTGTAAAAGGAAACAAACATGTATAAAAAAAATTTGGCTTAAGGATTATACATATATTGTACAAGTATAAAGAAAGAATTAAAGAAGAAGGACTCATTATATTAAATGTTATCGATAATATTAAATGGAAATAGGGGATGCTGCAGTTCCACAGTGCCTATTCGCCAGCCACCACTGGTCTAGGACCTCCAGTTCGACCGACTAAATATTGTCAGTAAATCAAATCAAAGCCGCATTAAGAACCCATACCCCAGGACGCCCATAAGCGTGTTCCACTGCTGATGCGAGCCATAACGCTTTCAAATTAAAAAATTTCAAACTTTCAATATCAAATTTTATTACAAAAATCAGCCGTTACAACCGACCGAATAGACCAACAATAGACCGAAGCATCACACCTGAATTTTGTAATACGAACTTTTTACATTCATCACCATTTTCCTTTGAAGCTTCAGAGAAGTCGATAAAATAAAATTCTTATGACGTTTTTTTTAATTTAGCATACAAATTTTAACTTTCACAAAACCCTAACTTGAGAACTAAATTTTTTAAGGGTATGATTATTCACTCTTAAAATGGGTTAAAATCAAAGAAGTTGGATTTCAAAACAAAATGATCCATACTGTGACGTGGTGATACGAAGTATGGTCCATCTAGGAATTACCATAAAATAAATAAACAGGATTTATCAGGACGGACAGTGGATTCGGTGGCATTGCAGTTAGAGTCCTGGCTGATAGGTAGCGGGTTCGATCCCTGATCAGAAGTTTCAGTTTTTCGGAAATTCCTAGTCGTTCAGGGCATCCGTTGTAATACATTTCTTGTTAGGAAATCGCAATGGTCTAAAGCTTTCACGGCATCGCAGCGATTTTTTTCTTTAACATTCTTATTTCTTATTATTTCCTTATTATTTATTAAATTTATCTCTTAAAAATCATCATTATTAACATGATTAAGATAAGATGACCTTACAACGTGTTTGCAAAACATTCACCAAAAAAACAATGTATAGTCGATTTACATTTACCTTTAAAACTCTACGCAACATCCGTCAAATAAACTTATCCTCAAAATTCTTAGTGATCAAGTTACTGGTTTTTTTCAGAATTAAAATTTGTATGTTAAATTTATAAAAAAAGAAATAGCCTAAACAAAAAATGCTTTGGACAAAAGATTCGTTTTTTCCCACTTAGAATAAACATTTGCAATAAAAAGTTGGTATTACTATTTTTAAAAAGTTGACTTTGAAATGACCTTGAAAACCTCCACAAAATGAAAACTTGTATTGCCAATATGTTTGTCCCTTGAAACTCTACAAAGCTCACCCTGTAAATTAAAGAGAATTGCCTAGTTTATGATTAAGGTATAACTGTACCACAATTTATATGATTAAACCATTAAATTTACAGGTAAACTGTAATTACTAATTTTAAATATTGTAAGAAAATGCTAGCACATACCTCGGTTGGTGGATGGGACTTGTGTTACCACTAAGAGGATCCGCTCCTGACATTCTGGATTCTATAATAAAATAAACATTCGTACAGTATTCCAGCTATGTTAATTAGATTTATACACAATTTATCCATATTATGAGGCTTTAACGATGACCAATTCCTCTAACAAACGCAAAAAGTTTCATGTCGCATATTTATCACATAGAACTTATGTGCAACCTATTAATTTGCAGTCGAATACAGTGAAATTTCGATAACTTGAATTTCAAGGGAAACGAAATATGCTTCGAGTTATTGTAGTTTCGACCTATTGAGATTTTAAAGTTAATTTTAAGTTAACGAAGCATTAGAAAATTAAAAAATTCATAGTCTTACAGAGGTTTCTCACGTATTGAAGTTCAAGATATCGAAGTCCCACTATATGTTATAAGGAGGCATAGTTATCGACTGTAACCTCGTGTGAAATAATTCTAGCTGATTATCGACTAGATCATATCGAATAACAAATCCGTCGTTCGCTAAGGTTCTATAGTTTAAGAAGGCTTGGACTAAAGAGAAAGACAGGGCTTCGTCCCTTTCGCCGATAGACAACAGGCCCGATTAGACGTGCCCGCTACCAACTTGGTATTTCACTTTTGAAAATTATTCTCATTATAATTTCATATAATAGTACATTATGCAATAAGGGAGTAAAGTCGTTGATTATTCCCGCGGGTGAGAGTGTACTGCCCGAGCGAAGCGAGGGCAGTAAATCACCCGAGGGAATAACCGACTTTACTCTCGTGTTAATAGTACATTATGCAATGGCTTGGACTAAAGAGAAAGACAGGGCTTCGTCCCTTTCGCCGATAGACAACAGGCCCGATTAGACGTGCCCGCTACCAACTTGGTATTTCACTTTTGAAAATTATTCTCATTATAATTTCATATAATAGTACATTATGCAATAAGGGAGTAAAGTCGTTGATTATTCCCGCGGGTGAGAGTGTACTGCCCGAGCGAAGCGAGGGCAGTAAATCACCCGAGGGAATAACCGACTTTACTCTCGTGTTACATATAGTGCTTTATTCACGACTGAGCTATAATAGCCACTTTATTCCCTGAAAAGTGGAACCAAATCAGCCACCGTCATTATGATGGAAATATACGTTTTTTCAAATATTTAAAAAATTCAAATTTTTTAAATTTTTTACCTTTTCAAAATTTTCAAAAATTTTCAAAATTTTCAAAATTAAAAAAAAATTCAAAACTTTGCGGGAATAAAGTTCATTATTCCCGCAAAATGCGGGAATAAAGTAAATTTGCGGGAAAACCAAATATGCGGGAATAAAATGCTACTTTAGTCCTGCTTTTCAGAGAATAAAGTGGCTATTATAGTTCAGTCGTGAATAAAAATATTTTTATCTTTAGGTGTTAGGGACGTCTTAATATCCGACAGTCATAGTATTGTACACTACACCTTACCATTTGCATATGCCGATATTATTTGGCGACCACAAGGTATCCCGTTAAGAACGCGAGATCCGCTGATATTAGATGTGAGATAAGTCGCTGGATCTATAAAGGAAGTAATTTGTGACGAAGAAAGGAATCATTGGATTAACAAAAACCATGAGCTACGCCTATTTATATTTATTTATAATTGAAATTTACTGATCGATGTACGGGTCATGTGTATGTGTGAGTAGTATCGGATATGCGCGTGCGCGTCATTAGCAATATAAGGATTGGAAACTATGCGTACTTCATTATTTACTGAATTACTTTCTTGTTTGTCGCTCTTTCTATTTGTGATCAAAATTGCACATGACTGGAATTTTTAATAACCGAATACACATTGTTATTTATATTAATATAGTTGAACTGTTACAATATTTTCTGTTGATCGAATAGTTACAATGTAATATGTTACATTCTTGTTCGTATGAGAAAACAATATCAAATTTACATAACAAAAATAAGTGTAACGTGTTACATAGATGAGCAGGAATTAATAGTTTGCATGGAACTTTGTTCAATAATGATAAGGTGAATAAACAATTTTTTATAAGCTTATTTACAACGAGAAAGCTGTCGTCAGCAATTCATAAATAAGATAAGTTTGTAAAAATAACTTCTGGCTTTGATAAAATGAAGTCTTTATGTTTTAAGCACTTTTTTGAAGATAATCATTATTGTCAACACTTTGAAGAATAAAATACTGTGACTTACAATTAATTATAAAAAGAGAAGAAAAAGAAATAAATCTTATAAAAATAATTTTTAATCATAGTTTCATTAAAAAATATTAATAAATATTGAGTACATACCCTGGTTTATATGAAGAAAAAAAGCATAAAATATATAGTTTTTTCAAAATATAAAATAAGGGTTGCAACGCCTTGGGTCATAAACACACCTCATATCTTCGACTTTTTATGACAAATATTTTCCACTTGGTTTTATTAAAAAATATCAATTAGAATCTGACATATGATAAAAAACAATTTTCGGGGGTAAAATTTAGGGGTGGTTTTTATCCCTTTGAAAAATCCTGAAACACCCCAACTGAAATATTTGATAGAGTTAATGGAAACGCTTTTCTTTATTTTTTTGAGCCCATACCCCGGTTTTTATGCAGAAAAAAAGCATAAAAAATATAGTTTTTTCAAAATATAAAATAAGGGTTGCAACCCCTTGGGTCATTAACAAACCTCATATCTTCGACTTCTTATGACAAATATTTTCCACTTGGTTTTATTAAAAAATTTAATTAGAAGTCGAGATATGATGAAAAAACGATTTTAGGGGGTGAATTTCAGGGGTCGTTTTCACCCCTTTAAAGTGGATGTCAGCACAAAAAAAAAATACGTGTCTCTTATTTTGTCGAGTACTACAACATATCAAAAAATTATTGAAATCGGTGGGGTCGGGTTGGGGGGTTTCCTTGTTAGATATAATAAATATGTTACATAAAACTTTATGTTTGCCGGGCCATTAAAGAATGTGATAAGATTCTTGGTCAATAATGTAAAAATCACAGGACCGTCTTATAAAGGCAAAAGTTTGTGCAACAGTCACACTAGCTGGATGTTTAATTATTTGGTTCTAGAAGAATGAATATGGAGACAATAGGAAAGGAGTTATAATAATAAAAAATTTTACTACTGTAATTGGCGGTTTCTACCCAGATAACACATAACGGCACAGTTATATAACACGCGAGTAAAAAGATGTTATAATATATTTGATATAATATGTATATCTTGTAACGTATCTCTTTTTCTTAACTCGACACCGATGGCGAAACACCCGAGAACGAACTATCTTCAAGAACCAACCTACGTTACCTTCGGCCGTTCACCCTTCGCTCATGCACCCGCAAGCCAGGCGGGCGCCAGCCAATACTTTTTCCACCGGGAACTGACGAGCCGATATGAACGAGAACTCTGACGGAACCTATCAGACGAGGCGATAGCTTAACGGATCCTGTCGAGTTTTGTGGACAAGTAAAATCGAGAAACGCAACCATAGGTGCAGATCTTTGGGGTCACGTACAATCAGCAAACGCAACTGGATGCACGAACGGGCGCGCGGTTACGGAAATGCACGGCCGCTCAGGCTGCTAGGTTGAGGTAGAGAGGGTCGGAGTAAAAGTCAGGCAAATAATGCGAGAGACAGAGAGCAACGAATCGGAAATGTAATAGGACGAATCTGAACTATCAATCGAAATCCCTTCACCAATTAATAAATTGGGAGTCCTCACCGGAGCTGGTTCAGCTAATCCGTGAAGGGCGAGAACTGTATCCAAAGAACACTCAGGTGGGCACTGCACTAGGGCACAGCACTACACCTCCGGAATACTCACAGGAAATTCATAGAATTTCCTGGATACCGCGAGAGCGACGCAAGAGCAACGCGAGAACTATACGAACAAGAACTGGCTATACCGTATCGAAACACGGCTAGAATATCTATCAACAGATAGCACAGGAGCGCGAGCCAGCTTATGACACCTCGGTCGATACCCCGAGACGGACTGCTTTGACAATATCAAAATTTGAGAACTAATTATACTGATTGGTCGAGATCCTTATAGCCGATAACTTTTCCATTTCCCTCGAGCAGTCCCTTTAAACTAAATCGAGAGCGTTCCTTAGCGAATCGGTACGTAACTTTTGGAGATCCTCCACGGCCGCTTCTCCAGGGCATCGGGCGACAGCTGGGCACCACATCCTTAACTCGGGCAGGAGGTTCCTTTCCTGCCTTTAACCGTATCAAAAACCTTAGCCCTCCGCCTGGCTTGCGGGTGCATGAGCGAAGGGTGAACGGCCGAAGGTAACCTAGGTTGGTTCTTGAAGATAGTTCGTTCTCGGGTGTTTCGCCATCGGTGTCGAGTTAAGAAAAAGAGATACGTTACAAGATATACATTTTATATTAAATATATTATCTCAGCCCGCTCTACAGCCCTTTGCCCATCTCCAGCGGGGCGCCGGTGTCTCACCGGGGCTTCTGCCGGTCCGTGGAGACGTCTCCGTCGGGTTACTCTCCTCTGCCGAGCAACTCAATACTTCGAGACTATCTCACAACAAATTAAAACAAAGCATTCGGGCACATTGACACAATTGTATGAATCTATCTGAGAGTGTAATTTCTAAGCAGTGGGGTCCTTTTTTTTATCGTAAATTAAAAATTCATACCCGAAAGGGTAAAATAATCTTAGTTATTACTTTTAACTGAAGCAACATGTACAAATCGAGCTGTTGGTTCAGTTGGTAAAATATCACATTCCTGAAATAAAGCATCCCGATAATCGCAGGTTCAAATCTCGCTCATGGCAAGATAGACAGTAAACGTACACTCATATTTTAAAACAATATTTTTCTAATTATACAATTATGTCATTATGTCAATTATATATTTCATGTTATTATTTAATGAATATCAAAACAGTTTAATCAATTGTCTGTATCAATTGTACATCTCCGCGTGAGTAGTAAGGAAATGACTTGGAAAACTGTATATGACCTAGATAGTTTGATATAACTAGTGACTAGACAAGGCATGCGTTAACATTCTGGTCGG